ATTCCGAGTTTATAAAGACTCCTTCTGCAGCCGGGCGTGGAGCGGGGGGAGGCTGGGGGCAGAGGCCAGTGGAGACGGCAAGGCAGTAGCACAGGTGGAGATAGTAAAGTCTGAACTCGTAAAAATAATTCTGACACCTGTCCTGAATTTTATTTTATTTTTTTACTATATTAACTAGCAGGCTTCCCCATCTGGTGTTTCTCCTTTTGCCCTCCCCTCCACCCCCTCCCATGCCTCATTCAAGCAAGGAGGCAGCCTAGGTTCATAGCCTCAGGGGAGGGATGTGAAGGGGTACGAAACAGAAAACATCCAAACCTTCAGAGGGACAGAAGAGACTCAGGGCGGAGACAAAACTGGGAGATGTGGGGTTTGAAGACAGGGGGTGCTCCCTGAGATCAGAAGGGATCCCCTTTGCTCTCCACCAGCAGGAAAGCACAGAGAATCTAGGCTCCTGGTGATAGAGGTCTCACTCCCTGCTTTCCGGGCAGCACAGGACCCTGACAAGGAGCAGTTGCATAATGAGGTTGTGCAGAAACTCCCCAGCTGAGCCAGAAAGGAAGTACCCGGATGGGTTAACCTCACTTCTGCTTTGGGATGAGGGCCCCTGGTCCTGTCAGGGCCAGGTCCATGAGATGAAAGGAGGTGTCAGTGGAAAGTAAGTAAATGGCTGAGGACCCAACGGGCCTTCCCTCTCAAGTCTTAGCGTCCCATACTCCCTGCATCCTGGGAGAAAGGAGGGGACAGAGATCCCGACTCATATTGTCTCCACCATCCCAGTGCAACAGGGGCTTGAAACAGGGGCTGAGCAGAGAGGTATTTCTCGCATACCAGGGTTAGGGACCAACACACAAGAATGACACGCATCCAGTGTTGTTGCCTCCTGGTACTATATTTAGCATTATCTTGTTTAATCTTCACAAGAGGGATGAGGGAACCGAGGCTTAGAAATGTCATACAGCTAAAAACTGGTGGCATCAAGACACAAGTGCAGCCCCAAGCTTGAATTCTCCACCGCTGTGCGCTAAGCCCCCTCCATGGCCGTGGCTATGAAACAGGGGAGGAGGGCGCGCTGGGGAGAGGTTTCAGAGGTAGAACCGTATGACCCAGAGCGGAGGAGAGGGGTCACGGATGCCCCCCGCGTTCCCAGCTCACGGACTGGGTTGGTGGTGGGGCAGCTAACACTGGGAACATGGGGTCAGTAGATGGGAGGAAACAGGAATTTTGCTTGGACGAAGTAAGTCTAGAGATAGGCATGTAGAAATTATTGGCGGGAGGCCGGGGGCACGCCTGGGTGGCTCAGTCCGTTAAGCTTAAGCGTCTGAGTCTTGATTTCCCCTCAGGTCATGATCTCATAGTGATGAGATCAAGCCCTGCATGGGGCTTTGCGCTGACATCGCAAAGTCTGCCTGGGATTCTCTCTCTCCTCTCTCTCTGCCCCTCCCCAGCTGGTGCTCACTCACCCTCTCTCTCTCAAAATAAATAAATAAACAATAAAAGAAATTATTGGCTTATCAGTGGTGTGAAAATCAGAGGCGTGGATGCAGTGTTCGTGGAAGTGTGCGTAAGGTAAGAAAAGGGCAGAGGGCAGAGCACTGGGGACCGTTAGCATTTAAGGGGTGGACAGAGGGCCCAGCAAAGGAGACAGAGAAGGAACTGTCCGGAGAAAAGAAAGAGCCAGGACACGGGTCCTGGAAGCCCTAGTGAGGACGGAGTTGCAAGGAGATGTCGGATAAAGTGGGGGGTCAAACAAGAAAATGATTCGGAAATGGTCACTGGGTCATTGAGAGGTCGTTGGAACCTCGGTGACAGTAGTTTGAGTCCCTGTACCTCCCTAAAACCTCTCCTCTTAAGGAAAGGCTGCTGACTGGGCACAGAGGAGCTGCCTGGCAGGCCCTGGCCGGGCTGTGGGAGCGTCCTGGAGGCCAGCCCACGGGTGGGAGCTGCAGGCAGCTGGGAAAGCCTGCGGGCACGGGCCCTGTCTGTGGCACAAGGCACTGTGTCTGCAAACCGCAGACGTTCAGCAAACACTGTCCAGCCATTTCAGGGGAGCCCGACTACTTCCTGGTAACTTGGTTTCTGGCGAAGGCCTCTCTACTTTAAAAGAGGCTTCTGGGGGCGCCTGGGTGGCTCGGTTCGTTAAGCGTCTGACTTCAGCTCAGGTCATGATCTCGCAGTTTGGGAGTTCGAGCCCCGCGTCGGGCTCTGTGCTGACAGCCCGGAGCCTGCTTCGGATTCTGTGTCTCCCTCTCTCTGCCTCTTCCCTGCTCATGCTCTTTCTCTCTCAAAAATAAATAAACATTAAAAATTTTAAAAAAATAAAAAGGCTTCTGCCCCAGGTAAATGAGGACACTTGCTTTCTAATGCCAGCCACCCTCAGCGAGTTAGCACAGTAGGGGCCGCTGTCACGGGCCTGCTGTCCTCTCATTAAGCAGAACATGGATGTTGCAGATCAGAGCGGGGGCAGAGAGACTCTTCTGATCTCCAGGCCTTTCCTGACCATCACCTTTCCCCACGTTCCCAAATGTGTAATGTACCCACACAGGAGCACAGTGTGTGTGTGTGTGTGAAAGGGCTCACTTCTAGGACAGCCCAGGCCTCATTAAAGCTTGCAATCCCAGTGCAGTGGAAGGGACCCTGGGCTAATCAGCCCAGAATCAGAAAACCTGGGCACTAACCCCAGCTGCATGGTTCTGTGACCTCAGGCAAGTCCTACCTGCTTTCTGAGCCTGGTCCCCTCCTCTGCGGAATGAGAGTTTGGCACAGATGATCTCTGAGGTTGTAACCAGGCACAAGCCCGTCACGCTTTGGCTCCTTGCTTAAAGTGAGGGACTTGAGGGGTGTGTGCAGAGGTGGGCAGTGGTGGGGCAGGAAGGGCGATGGAATCCAGGTAACTGCCCAAGTGCCATCAGTGATTCAGCACTGGGATAGGTCGTCTGAACTGTCCATCAAAAAATTCCCTAGGAGTGGAGGGCGGTGCCTGGTTGTCTGGTAACCCCGGGGCTTTGAGCTAAGGGCTTGGGGAGGTAACCCAAGCCAGAGGGACCATTCCAGAAAGCCGGCCGCAGAGAGGATCGAGGGAGGTAAGGTATCCTGTGTGGCTGGGGCCCCGAGACCTGGTGGGGTTAGCGCGGAATGTCCCAGGGATGAGGGCCTTGAAGGCAGGATTCCTAGGTGTTCTTAGTTGCAGGGGGAATTTCTTTGAAAAGAGAGACATCTCTGCCTGCCTCTTCCAAGAAAGAGGGGAAAGAAGGAAAGAAATGGGGGGAGAGGGTGCTGAGCGTGCAGGCCCCAGTCTTTACCACCCTCCCCCCGGTCTCCTGGGAAGAGAGTTCAGGAAAAGGCTTTGCCTTTCTAGGAGAGAGATCCTAACAGGGAAGCACATGTGATGACTGGAGCAGGGGGCCCAGAACCAGCCAGTTGTGGAACAAGAGGCCCCGAAGTGGGGCGTGGGCATGAATGGCTGGACGGCATCCTCCGTCCTGAAAGCTGACTCCTTGCCGATTCAATAGCCCTCTCAGCTCCGCGTCCCCGGCGCCCTGTATGGCTCCCGGGGTGCAGCAGGTGCTCACCGAGCATCTGTTGAGCTGACCCGACCCACACCCAGGAGCGCCTAGATTGTGAGTGCGAGGGTGTCCGTGGGGAACAGTGATGGTGGAGGAGAACAGATGATGGAGGGGAGGCCCTGCGCGTGCTCCGTTCAGCTGCCCTTTCGTTTGCTCGTTCAGTGAATGTTTTTTGTGTTGTGGTAAGGTACACATACCTTTTTATCCCATCAAGCCGTTTCTAAGCGCACAGCCCAGTGGCAGCGGGTACACACGCATTAACGCATTAGCCATCGCCTCCAGCCACCTCCATTTCATTCGATGGACGTTTATTGAGGACCTACTATGTGCCAGACCCTAACGTCGTTCCAAATCTGGCAGGAGAGGTAGACAAGAAAGTCAGCAACTTTCACCCGGTGTGATAAACGCTGGAAAAGACACGGGCACAAGGTGCCGTGGGGTCCGGAAGGACCCAGATGGCTGAGGGAGGAGGCTTTCTGTTACTTGAACTGGGTCCTGAAGGAGGACAGAGAACGCAGTTGGGACGTTGGAGTAAGGGCTGATGTGGCGCCCAGTAGGGGTGCGGAAGTGGAGTGCGGTGGCGGCAGCGAGGAGTCCTTACGGCCCTGGGGGCGGGGTTAGAGCTGAATCACCCGAGAGGGAGCCTGCTTTGGAGGAAGCCCAGGGTGACATATTGATCCCCCTGCTCCCCAGTGTCAGCACGATGTCTTCCTCCAACCCTGAGGATACCCCCCGAGAGCCTGAGTCTGAGCCTGAACCCTCAACCTCCAAGCAGAAACAGAGGGGAAAGCGGCCACAGCAGGCGGCCAGCGTCCACGCCCTCACCAGGGCTGGCCACGGGGCGCTCCTGGCTGGCCGGAACCACGAAGCCCTGACCAGCTTCCAGAGGGCCTTCGTCCTAGCCTCGGAGGCCCCGCAAACTCGCGACACCCCTGTTCTCCGGGCCTGTGCCTTCAACCTGGGGGCTGCCTATGTGGAGACCGGGGACCCAGCCCGGGGCCTCGAGCTGCTCCTGAGAGCCCTACCTGAGGAGAAGGCACAGGGCAGGCGTCATGGCGACCAGTGTTTCAACGTGGCTTTGGCCTACCACGCCCTGGGCGACCTGCCTCAAGCTTTGGCCTGGTACCACAGGGCCCTGGGTCACTACCAGCCACTAGGCGACCATGGGCAAGTCCAGGCAAAAATGGGAGCCTGCTACCAGGCTCTGGGACAGCCTGAGCTGGCAGCCCACTGTCTGCAGGAGGCAAGCCGGGCCTACGCCCAAGCAGGGCAGCCCCAGGCTGCGGCCTTGGCCTTGGGGGCTGCGGCGGGGTGTATGCTGAAGAGCGGGCGGCATGGGGTGGGCGCGGTGACGCGGGTGCTGGAGGAGAGCCGGAGGCTCGCTGAGAGGAGCCCTGAGCACAGACTGCTGGGTGAGGCCTGCGGGCAGAGGAGAAGCGGGGTCTGGGGGGATCAGACCAGGCGATGCTCTGAGACGTGGGGTGCAAGCGGAGGCTTTTCCGAGGGCTGGGGAAAGGGCCGGAGGACCCCAGGAGAGGGGGACGGGGGCCGCACCGGGACAGCTGCAGCTGACCTGGCTGCCCGTGACCCTGGCCACGCCCTCCAGGGCATCTCTATAACGACCTAGGCCTGAGCTACTGCCAGCTCCAGCTGTTCCCGCTTGCAGCGGAGTCCTTCCTGCGGGCCCTGCCCCTGTGTCGCGGGCCGGGAGAGGAGGCCACGGTGCTGAGAAACCTCGGGACGGCCCACAGTGCCCTTGGCAACTACCGGCAAGCCCGGGAGTGTCACCAGAAGGCTGCTGACCTGCATGGTGGGCACCAGGGGCTGGGGGCTGCATTGGGACTGAGGGACTAAGGGGGGGCTCCAGCCGGGGCCCGAGGCTGGAGCGTGGACGGACCTTTGGGACTGGTTATGGGGCCAGGAAGTCCAGAGCCAGGAGGTGAGGGCTGGGGGAGCAGGAGATGGGGTGGCCAGACAGGACGGTGGGTTGAGGGCCCGGAGACGAGGCCTGGGGCTGGGGGGACACATGGGGGGGGGGGGCAGAGGGCAGAGCCCCGGGCGGGAGAGGAGCCTGATGTGGAAGCCAGTGCCTCTCTGATTAAGTGGTTGTGTGCAAGTGAGTCCCTGTCGCTCTCCGAGCTTCGGTTGCTGCACGTGCAGGAAGGGAACTTTGCCGCTTTTCAGGGTCAGGTCGCAGGGTCGTTGCCCAGCTCAAGGTGGCCAGCGGGGGTGGGGGGTGGGGTGCATTCAGGCTGAAAAGCAGGCCTGAGGAGAGGCCTCCGCGGTGCAGCTGGAGGCGCGCGGGGGCTGAGCTCCGGGACTCCCGGGGGCCCGGCCTTGGCCGCCAGGGGATACGCCTCAGAGGCCAAGGCCCCCGCTTACAATGGGGTGGCTCTGTCGTCAGGCTCTGGGGGGCAGCGGCGGGAGCAGGGCCGGAGCTTTGGCAGCCTGGCATTTGTACTGAGCCAGCTGGGGGACCACAGGGCAGCCAGAGACAACTACCTACACGCCCTGCAGGCGGCCCAGGACACTGGTGAGTGGCAGGGG